GCTGGAAGATGGCCCATCCCCCAGTGGTGCACCCCGAGCCTCTGTGCCCAGTGGGATTGCAAACCTGGAGAAGAAGATGAACGGTGGTACCCCAAGCCTCAGCTCCGGGCCTCTGGCCCAGAGGCAGAATGGCCTTTGGACCACAGAGGTAGGCGCACAGCGTGGGCCAGAGCCAGGCCTGGGAGAGTCCTCCCCCAACCCTCCCTTGCTCTCCCAGCCTCTTCCTCCTCTTCCCTCGGCCACTGCATCCTCCTCCACTTTGACCCCATCTCCACCCCTGCCACTATCTCTAGCCTGTGCCCTGGGCTCTCCGCTGTGTCAGCATTCTTGGCTTTGGCCCTGCGGTCCTGTCTTGTGTGCTTTGGGTGGGTGCGGCGGGCTGTCTAGCCATGAAACAGCACTCACATCAGTGAGTGGCCTCTCTGCTCCTTGGTCAGACGGCAAAATTCAGCTCTTGTGTTCAGTAAGGAAGGGGCCTTGCAGGAAGCCCACGCAGCAGAAGTAGAACCACAGCCGTGCAGTCAACCCAGGGGCCTGCTGTGGTGAGCAGGAGTCACAGGGACAGTAAGGGTTAGCCCGACAGGAGGCACCACCCCCACAACCGAGGAGATGGGAAATCAGGGGGATACATCAGTCTTCCTGGGGCCCCAGATAGCCGCCTTCACCCTTGCATAAACTGACCTTGCCACTCTGTAGGTGGCCTGGACACCCAGAGCCATACTCAGAAACTTGGAGACAATTCTAATGTGGGCCCAGATATCTGTCCTGGTGGCCTCCTTCACCACATGCACTGCCCTCCTCTTGGTTCCAGGCCAGACCATGGTGGCAAGAGGCAGATTTTCCCCATGGACTGCACTGCCCAAGCACATTCCCCACCTCCTTCCCCAGTCCATCTTGGTAGAGTTGGGCTTTACACTCTATGATGTCCCTTTCTGGCTATTAATGTCACAGCCTCTGAGAGCACAGCAAAGTCCTCATGCCCCCAGCACAAGGAAATTGGCATGTGAGGTTCATTGGATTGAATCCCCTGAAGAGGCCCACGGACATGGTCATATAAGCTCTGGAGATGGGTGTCTAATTTTTCATTGAAAACTGATAGGTTCTGGCTCTAGTATAAATTGCTGAATTATTAGGGTTCTCATCTAACATGGCTGAAGCCCTTAAAACAACAGCTTCAGTGGCCACTTCCTCCTCCTCCTCCGGCCAGTCCTGGGTGCAGTTTCCTCTCACCTTTCCTGGGCACACAGGAGCGACCCCAGTCAGCTCCTGACATGTAACTGACCCTCTCACTCCACCCCAGCAAAAGTGTGTAAAAGCCTCGGCTTTCCTTGTCTCAGGTCAGAGGTTCTGCCCCATCTGCCCTCGATCCTCCCTGTGTCTTCTGAGTTAATGACGGCTTCTTATGTCTTTCCTGCACCACCAAGAACCTTAACAAGAACAGGTAATGATTCAAAGGAGGAGCCCGGCTTCTTAAAGCACCGCTAACGGCTCAGCCAGCTGCTGCCCTGTGGCCTGCAGGATCACTAAAGCCCCTAGTGTGGCTGCAGTACCGACCTTCCCTTCCCTCGTGGCCAGTTGCTGCTCTGGGGCGACCCGCCTGATCTGTCCAAGCACAGTGTAGTCTTCTGGAAAGCAGGCCTGGAAAGCAGCGGCTCTCTGAAGTACACTCCCCTCATAAAGGCTGGTGTGGTGGAAGCCCCAAGAGAGCAAAGGTGGCTGCTTCAGCTGTTTCCACTCATCTGCCCTCAGCATCCTAGTGGCCAGTGGTTGTCACACCGGTGAGCCTGATGCCAGCAAGGCAGGAGGGGATGCAAAGGACAGGAGCACAGTGGAGCCTGCCGCACGGACACACAGAGAAACGCACGGGATGGGACTCATCCAGGTCAAGGAAGGGCACTAGCACACCGCAAGTCCCCCCAGACCCTTCCCGTAACCATCCAGGAGCGACCTTTCTTCCAGCCTCTCGCATGATAGGCCTGGTCTCTCCGTGTTTGTGATTTTTAACGTCCTGTGTTTTATTATATGAGTGGACCTCGACACAATGGTTTTACTGCGTGGACAAGTTTGGGGCTATTTTGAACAATAAAGCTGCCTCGTTACTAAGTGCCTGCTGGGGGGGCTTTCCTTTCCTTGGGGTTGAGATTTATATATTTGACTTCACTTGGCCAACTGTTTGGATCATGACAGGTAGCTATCCAAAGTCACATGCCACTTTGCCCTCCTGTTGGTGGTGGGTGAGTTCCAGTTAAGAACTTGACCAGTGTGAGTCTTCCTCTGGCTTCCGACCACAGCTATTCCACCCTTGCATGTGTCCTAGGCCCCTGGAGGCTGAGGCCTGCATGTTACCTCCTTTGTCCTCAGAATATTCGGATTGTGTCTGAGGTGCCGGTGGTGTTGTGGTGTTGTCTCTAGTTTGCAGCGGAGGATGACAACAGAGATAGCTCAGGAAAGCTCTTTCCTGTGTCACCTGCACACACACACACACACACACACACACACACACACACACACACCCTGGGAGCCTATGTGGCAGGTAAATCGGCCGGGCAAGGCCAGCCCCTGGGGGCTCCCTCAGCAGTGGGAACTGTGTCAGGGGACAGCGGGGACCGCGCAGCTGGACAAGCAGCCAGGTAGCTCATGTTTTCATAGGTCGGGGTCAGAGGCTCTGCTGTTTTCACAGCAGGATTGGGACCCGATCACTCTGGTCTAGGTGTTCAGATAGTTGGGAGTCCAACGTCCCCTTTGCATGCTGAGATGTCACCAGCTACTCGCATCCCTCAAAGGCCAAGGCAGAGGACTGCCATGAAGGTTCAAGGACGCATTCCTCTGCCTACCCGTCTGTCAGCAGAGTCACCTCAAATGGAAGGACACTCAGGCTGGCTCATGCCCATCCCAAGTCTCCCAAAGAAAAGATCTTTCTTCTTAATCCCTTGTGGGTCTTTTCACCAGGTGGCACCCACTGGTGGCTGCACACAGGTGGAACTCACACAGGGACATTGTCAAGGTTAAAATAAAAGCTGATGACAGGAAGGAAACACAGACAGTGGAGGTGGCCTCTGCAGACAGCAGCCCTGCACAGTGAGGACTTGTACTTGTGCGGAGACATTACTTATTCCCGGGTGGTTATGGGGGATGAGGTCTGGGAAGGGTGGAGTTTAGTTTCCTGCCTGGTCTCCCCGTGCCACCCACAGGATATGTGCCCTGCTGCCCTTGAGTCCTGCTCCTGGGCTCGGCTACTTGCCGTCCTGTGCAGAGGACAGTGGTGGCTGTGTCACCCTGGCCACTGGCTGTCTTTGCTGGAGCCCCAGCACAGAGGCCTTTATTTGTCTTTCTGCTCTCTGCCTAGGGCGACCTAGCAGGGTGCTGTGGCCTTGCACAGGCGGGGCTCCCCATTTCACCGCTATGCATTGGCTTCTGCAGTGTTTGGGACCTTCCTGACTGCAGCATCCCATCCATCATTGGCCCTGGCTTCTCTACCCAGCTCCCGCCTCCTCAGCACACACAAGAGGAAGCTGTGCATTGTACTTGTTCATTGGCAGTTGGAGGCTCTGGGCTGCCCAGCTTTCCCTCCATCAACCTGAGGAGCCACTTCCTGGGGCTCACTACTGTCACCCGCCCACCTCCTCCAGGGTCCGAGAAGGAGCTGTGCTCAGCTCTGGCTCCACACAGACAAACCTCAGAGAGTGGGAGCGCCTCCACAGAGCAGCCTGCTCTGGGAGCAGCGTGCTTTCCAGCTGCTTTAATATTCTTGGACAGTGACCAGACAGCCCTAAAGGATCAGCCTGTCTGGACCTAGTCTCAGCTGAGGGTCTTCCAGCTCCTGCCTCGCCCCACCCGGTGTCTGGCCAACAGGCGCCCCTGTGCATGGCCCAGGCTAGGAGGAGCGGGTGTCCTCAGCTGAGCCAGGAAACCAGGCTGGGAAAGGGACACAGGACCAGCCCAGAACTCCTGCTGGACCGCAGCACTGGGCGATGTTCGCAGAAGAGCCTGAAAGTACTGTAAAGATGAGAACAAAAATTGGGCACTCGAAGACCAGAGAGATCAAAAGAGCCAGTTAGGGAGGTTAGAGCGAGGGGATGCTGCTCTAGTGCAGCGAGGCTCAAGCCGGGAGAAGGAGGGAACGTAGCAGTGCGGGGAGGAGCACCTACGTGGGCCGTGGAGGACAGGGTGAAGGTTTGTACTAAAACATTGTCACAGTGGGGCACACTGCCATTCAGCCCTCTCAGAGTCCTTCCCTGGCTTCAAACACGTTCCATTGTTCCGCCTGGCCAAGGAAGCGGACACAGTGAGATTCCAGCGTCACTCGGGTGATATGAAGGCAGTTCCGAGCACAATTAGAGTCCAGGAGGAGAGCCTGGCAGGGGCAGGGCTCGCAGCAGGTTCTTCCTTAGTATCCACAGCGATCGCCCCCCGGAGCTCTGGGCTGTTCCTCAGGGAAGATTCTCCGGGGTCCTTCCAGGCATTTATCAGGGGTCTGGGATGTGGCAGGCAGCACTGTGTTCTGAGGATATTGTGTCGAGCAAAATTGGACTGCATCTCTCTTCTCCAAGTTCCCGTGTGTTGCTCTCAAGTTATAAATACTAGAAAAACAGAAGAGTGGCGCCTGTAAGTTGTCCTCGCAACAGGCCCTGCTTCTCTGTGCTGGCTGCCCCAACTGTGCAAGCGCTGCTGGGTCCCCACAAGGCCATCTTGGCTGGCATCTGGGGGAAATTGAGAAGGGCTGGGGGAGTTCCCGCAGGCCCAGAGGACCAAGAGGCTCCTTTGAGGCAACTCTTGCTGGAGGGATGCACTCCTCCATCATCAGGGAGGGCGCGGGGTGGGGTGAGCGGGCAGGCAGCGTGGCACGAGGCAGATGGGTCGTCCGAGGGTCCTGGCATGTGCGATTGTTGGTTTTATTTATTTTTTCTTTTCTGTATTTAGGACAGGCCTACAGGTCTACAGGTCTACAGGGTTTACAGGGTCTATGGAGTCTCACTACGTAGATCAGACTCCTAGTGATCTATCTGCCTGTGTTCAGCCTCCCAAGAGCTGGGATTACAGGTGTGCACCAACACACCTAGTCTCAATGGGCATCTCAGCATGCCCTGGGGGTGGGGCCAGCACGGCATGCTGGGGATCAAACCCCAGCCACTGTGCTCTGCCTAAGCAGTCACTTTAGTCCGCTGAGCTATCGGGCCTGCCCTGGTTTTGTTGTTTTTACATATTTAAAAAATTTATTTATTTATTTATTTGGTACAGGGTCTCACTACACAGCTCAGACTCCTAGTGATCCTCCTGTCTCAGCCTCCCCAGCAATGAGATTGCAGGCCTGGTTTGGGGGCCAGCACTGAGCCCCCGGGGTTCTGGGCCCAGCACAGCATGTGGTACTGGGGATCAAACCCAGGTCCTTGTGTTTGCCAGGCATGCGCTTAGACCACCAAGCTATCTCCCTGGCCCCTGTTGTTGTTTCTGAGAGAGGGTCTTACCATGTAGTTGAGGCTGGCGTTGAACTCACTCTAAAGCCCAGGCTGGCCTTGAATTTGTGGTGATCCTCCTGCCTCGGTCTCTCATGTGTTAGGAGCACAGGTGGCCAGCACACCTGACAAGATTTTTAGTTCTTAAGCCAAGTCCGTCCCGGGCAAACCAGGAGTTGGTCGTGGTTTGTGTCTGGATATCCCCCAAACCTCAGTGCGACTGGTTCATTGTCTCTGTTGGGACTGGAGGTGAAAGTACCACAGCACCTGAGTCAGGCGACCAGCATGCAGCATAAGGGAGGGAAAGAGGCTTGCTCCTCCCCGCTGCCCCTATCGCTTTTGCTGTCTTCCGCCACCACCATCACGAGCGGCTGCCCTCTGCCACGTGCCACTCTGCCTCGGAGCCAGCCAAGTACAGACTGAAACCTCTACACATTGTGAGCTAAATAAACCTTTATTCCCTTAATTTTGGGTGTCAGGTACTTTGTCCCAGCAATAAGAGAAAAGTAATCAAGACAGTCATCTTACTAATGCTAAGTGACACACTTGATTCTCTCAATCTAAGCATCTGCCATGCTCCTCAGTGCTTGGTGAGGGCCAAGGCTCGGGGGACGCTGCGTGGAGGACACCTCTGCTATCAGCTCTGGCTCTTGAGCCACTGTAGTTGGGGCCACATGCATGTGTGTGCCGTGGTCTCAGGGTGACTGAGGGTAGCCTTTGATTCTATCCAGTCTTGAAAATTGAACATCACCCAACTATTGCATTTGTATATAATGGGTATGCTCTAAGCACAGAGGACTGAACCCAGGGCCCTTGCAATGAGTTATACCTTCAGCACTTCCTTATTTTTGATTTTGAGATAGGGTCTCATTAAGTTGTCTAAGTGGGCCTCGAACTTTCCATCTTCCTGTCTCGGCCTCTCAGAGCATTGAGATTGCAGGCAAGCACCACCCTGCCCCCTTCTCGCCTCACTCCTTAAAACTGAAAAACAGACAAGTAGAGCAGAGAATTTTCTGTGTAACCTTTAAGCATTTCTTGTGGAATCTTGCCAGTCATCTTTTCTATAGAAAAGCTTCTTTGCAGTACAGGAAGTTTACATTTGCAGCCTGGAAAGCTCGCCTACCTTCCCCAGACTTGGGGTGGAAATACCAGCCACGATCCTCTCTGCTCCTTTTCAATGCGGCCTCTGTCTCTCTGGGTCCTGGCCTGGCCTCTAAGCTGTGAAGTGACAACACCCCAGTGGAAGGCAGACAGAGCCAGCCTGACACGGCCTCTTTCCTTCCTTCCCCTCCAGAGGCGTGTGTGAGTGTGTGTGTGCGTGCGTGCATGCGTGCATGTGTGCGTGTGTGTGTGTGTGTGTGTGTGTGTGGTGTGACTAGCCAGTATAAGGTAGTTCAGCTCAGTGCGTAGTTCAGCTCAGTGCTCCAGGCTAAGTGGGAAGATGAGGGAGCTTGGGAGGAATGTTTTGGAGAGCTGTAAGGAGGAGTTGCACATGTGTAGCCAGAGATTTCTACTCTAAAGGGTCAGAGATGTTGGGTCCTCAGCTTTTAGGGAAGCCAGTGAACCCACAGAAGTCTCTCCTCACCCTGGTGCCCATGTGGGGTTGGAAGACCCGGGTGGAAGGTGCAGTCCTAGGTGGGAGTGATCGCTGGCAGAGGGAGCAGGAGTGTACCGTCTGGCAGGGTGTGTGTCTATCCACCCCTCCGTCCATTCCTTCCCCAGAGTAACAAGTGGCCACTATGTCTCAGGCCCTTGGAATACCAGGACAGAAGCAGCAACCTCCTCTCTCTTGAGACCAGTAGGTGGGGTACTGAGGCAGTTTGGTTGTCCTCAGATGCCCCTCGCAGCCACATCTCTGTGAAGCACCACCTCAGGTCAGGTCCCCAGAGCAGGGTCCGAGGTGTCAATTCCTGGGCTGTGGAGGGCCGGGGGCAGCAGCAAGCAGCTGGTGTGAGCACTGGTACAGCCCTGGCATGGGCCTCTGGGTCTGGAACTGGGGCGCTGTGGATCTGCACCCTGTGTCTCAGCACACACAGGTGGCCTGGCTGGTTGTGTCCAGGGACTGTGTCACAAGTGGGTGTCCGGGGCCATCGCACGCGCACTCTGAGCACACAGTCGCCAAGCAGAAGGGACAAGGGACGCAGACTCCCCTTCTGGTGACGCTGGCTTCTCTTTGGGAGGGGAGAGGTGGGGCGGGCATCATTGCTACAGGATCTACAGCTTAGTTAATGCTTTAATGTTCACCATTACTCCTGGGCTTCTCGTTGGCGTGCCTTCACCTAGCAGGAGTAGTCGTACTCTTCAGGTTTTCTCATGTGTGCTTAGCAGCAGGCTGCGCTCAGTATCTGACATGCACGCCCTTTATAGCCCTGCCGTACCCTCCTGGGCTACCTAGTACTCCACCCCTGCAGATGAAGGCAGCAAGCATGAGGGGGCTAGAGCAACTGCCCTGCAGTGGGATTATATCATCAGCACTCGCGACAAGTCTCCAAACCTTCGCCTCTCTGCCAGATCCAGGGGTGGGCACCTGGGGACATTAGCAGTTTATTCCCCCGACAGGGTGCGATGGGATGGGTCTTATGCCAGCTGGTATCAGAAATGCAACACAGTACCCCAGGAGATAGCGGGCCTCACATTTCACGTTAACCCAAGTATTTATGCTTCCACATTTCTATTAAAAAGAAATTTAATTTCAAAACTGCAGAAGAGGAGTTTGTGGTCCTGGAGGCCACTCCTCCTGCCCACGTGTCTGTAACCCGCTCAAGACGTGAGTTTGATGGGAGGCTCTGGGCTGTTTCCCTGTAGCTCAATTCACCTTTCAACTTTTCCACAGCCTAAAAGAGACACAAAGAGAATGTCTACAAAAGAAGTCACCATTAACGTGCCAGACAGCCTGCGGCAGATGGACAGAAGTAACAGAATCACCAAGAACTTCATCAACTGACCATGTCCTGATGTAGGAGCAGAGGGACTTTGGGGATCCCTTTGCAGTCCTGGATGCCACCGGGGAACCTTGAAGTGGCTGCCACCTGCTGGGCAGGGCTGCTGCTGGGGGCCTGGAGCAATGCCTCGACCGTCCACCCCTGCTGCTCTCGGACAGTCAATGTGCTGGACGGTCCTCGTGCCAGTGCATGGCCAGGGTGTGGCTGGGTTCGTCCCTTGTGGCCCTGTACAGGCGTGAGCTAAAGCCCCAGGTCGGTTTATGAGAGGAGCAGGGGTGCATTTCCCAGCCAGGTGACTGCCACACGCCAGCCTGGGACTCGCAGCACCTGTCCTAGGCACACTCATCCTTCTCTTCTCTGTCAATCCTGCTGTCGCCAACCTTACAGGCTTCACTAAGAAGCCAGCTTCCCTCATCTCTAGCCCAGATGTTTGTGTGAACCCGAGGCCCAGGGACCATCCCTGTGGCCTCATCTTAGCTCAGTACAGACAGGTTAGAGCCCCACCAGCAGCCACCGAGAGTGTCTTTTTGATGTCTCTGTGACAGGGTCACATTGCCATTTCTTTTGGCCTAGAAAATGCTCGGTGCTGGTGTCCAAACTGCAAGGTCCTTGGGGCCAAAGATCCTGGCAAGGATGCCCCTGGCTCAGGCAGGGCTCTCCAATCCCTTCTGCTCCTCTCGGGGTTTTGTCTGAGCCAGGGTCCTTTGTAGTTGTGATCAGACAGGGAGGGCACTAGCAGGAGGCGGGTCACAGCGGTGTGGGTACCACAGGCATCCCAGCTCCGCCCACCGCCAGGCACGAGCTATCCGCTGTTTGCAGAGCTGTGGCTTAAGCAAGCCTGAGCCTGCCTGGCCGGTGGAATCCGTAGACATACGATGGTTGGCTGACGGGCTGCTGATGCGGGTAGGTGTCATTTTGATGGGCACTGTGTTCTTGCAGTTTTAAAAAACATGCTCTTGGATATATTTTCCTCTAAACAATGTAGCCTGCTTTTTAAGGGACAGTTGATACTCCTGGGGCGAGGTGGGTGGGGCTCAGCGGGTGTTTGGTCTCTGTGGCGTGGGCCGGAGGACTCACGACAGAAGCCGCAGTGAGACGCTCAGCCCTCTCCGAGCTCTGGCCTCCCCTGCAAGTAAGTACAGTACAGTTCATTCTGTTGCTTTGGGCAGGTTGTGAAGGCGCTAAACAAACACACGCTCGCGACAGCCACGGAGGAGATGTGGTCGCCGCTGTGCTCCCCCTGCAGCTGGAGACTGGTAGCGGGCAGACTGGCCCCTCCCCGGGGCGCAGGTGTTGGGCGTCTTGCTCCGTGAGGCCTTCCTGTCCTGCAGGCGTGCGCGCCAGCCGAGCGGGCCGAGTGCCCTGATGGAGCGCAGCACCTCCTTTACTGCGCGCAAAGCCAGCTTTCTCGACCTCCTCCACTCTCTGGTTCCCTGTGAAAGGGCTGGTTGGGAGCGTCTCATTCTCAGCTTTTTAAATAAAAGCTAACCCTGTGACTCTGGTGCGTGGTGTTCCCCACGGTGCAGGAGGAAGCTTGCCCCGTGGCCTGTTGGAGGAGGACACAGAGGGCCCTGTCCTGTCCCCTTAGAACAAGGGCACCTGCCTGCGAAGGTGGCCGCAGTCACAGCATGCGCTAACACTCATCTGGCTTTTTTTCCTATTGTGTTTACGACAAGAACTGATTCTTTTGTCCTTTTAATACAGTGCTTTCCATTGCAAAGTCCATGTCATTTAAAACAGATATGGGTGAATACAGAGAATCTTTTCCTGGAAATTTTAATTTCTTTTTCTTTTCTTTTTTTTTTGACATAGTATCTCACTATATAGTTTAGGCTGATTTTTTTTTTTTTTTTTGCGGAACTAGGGATTGAACTCAGGCCTTGGGCTTGCCAGGCAAGCGCTTATTCTACTGAATCATTTTGCCGGCCCCAGTGTAGGCTGATCTTGAACTCACTATGTGGCCTAGGCTGGCCTTGAATTCACAGCAGTCTCCTGCCTCAGCCTTCTGAGTGCTAGGATCACAGGCATGCACTGTGCTTGGTTTGGAGACATTTTATTTGTATGCAGAGCAGTTTGGACTTTTTTCTCAAAGGCTTTTCCATAAGGGACCCTGTGAATCCAGCAGGAAACCTTTTGAAGGAGGCAAGGCGAAGCCCTCAGCCCCATGCCCAGGACAGGAGGTCTCTATGCTCCCTGGGCCCGGCAAGTGAGTGCCTGGCCGCAGGAGAGGGAGCTCGGCCTGCAGACCCAACTCTTCCCAGACAGCCCGCTGCCAGCTGCAGGGTGGAGATGCCCGTTCAGAGGGGCTGTGTCACCAGACTTACCATTGTCCCTACCCCACAACCCATCTCCTGTGGGAGGCCAGAGAAGCCAGCAACAGAAGGAATTCACACTCAGTTCTCGAGGGAACCTGGAGCTGTTAGAACGCCTGATACAATCAGATGTGGGTCTCCAGGTCACCCAGCAAGGCCTCTCGTTACTGCTTGTGTGCTCTTCTGGCTTCAGTGCCTGAGGAGCTATGCCCAGGCAGCCTGCTCTGAAGCAGTGTGCACGGTACTGCGCCTCCTGGGCACACAGCCCTTCCCGTTCATTGCCGCGTCCTGGAGACACTTTTTCACTTTATCTCATTGCCAGAGGCTGTCAGCGTTGGGCCACCCAGGCCACAAGCTGAAGCAGCCCAAGTTCTCTAGGAGGTCCCGCCCTGGCTCCTCGGAGATGGATCTAACCTGAGTCCCAGCTGTGTCCCCTGGGGCGCGGGGCAGCTCTCAGGCTCCTTCCCTCCCGTGGAAATGACATCCTTCTGCAGTGTACCTGAGGATTAAGGGAGATGACAGATGTAGATATAACAGCGTCTGCCATGATAATCATCGCAGCATGCAGAGCTGCAGTTTCCGGCTGATCCACAGCCTGCTGGGCGCTCGCGACCTCACACAGACTGGGAGCAAAACAGGCTCTGGCTGCGAGGCTGGGGCTACAGCCAGCTCGAGCTGTGCAGCCAGCTCCGTGTGCCCCCCGCTCCTATGGCTCAGCTCTTCCTTGGCACTGGCGGTTGTCACTGCCCCTGGGGAGACTCTAGCTCCTAAGATACAGATATGCAGAATTTTCACCCATCTGCGAGATGCACCCATTCTCCCGATATTGGAGGATTCAGTCAGGATCAGGAGGGAGAGCTCTCAGCTATCAGGCGCATCACGGTGAACACAGCTTGGTCGTTTTTCTGCTCCATGATCAGCCCCAAAGGCCAGACACAGGCGAGAACTGGTTCCCAGAGGCTAGCTGGGTCCCTAATTCCATGTGCAGCAGAGTGCACTGCTCTTTGGAGCTGGCATTGGTTCTCAGTGCAAAACAACCCCGGGGCGCCCTCGGCTGGGGAAATGATCATCCTCGAGAACCTTCCAAAGGTGCACAAACCAAGCTCAGGAAAGGAACAGGAAGCTGCTGTGCGGGCCCCTGTGAGCTTGGCCTTTTCCTCGAAAACGCGGAAGCTTTCTCCAGCCTGGAAACTAGCAAGGGAGCCCTGAGTTTGGGTGGGAAGGAGCTCCGTGTGAGCAGGTGCAGAGCGGTGGCTTTGGGTTTTTTCTTTCTTTTGCATCAATGGGCCATGTAGAAATGACTTCAGACGAGCCTTGCTGACCGACAGGAAGAAGACCTTGTGCGTGGTGAGGAAACCAGCAACTTCCTTTGGGCCCGGGGCAGATCTGGTAAGAGGGAACTAGCAGCTGCACCACCAGAGTGGCCACAGAAACTTTGTCTCTATAAAGAAAGGACCTTCCTAAACCAGGCATGACGGTGCATCCCTGGAGTCCTGGTACCTCGGAGGCTGAAGCAGGAGGATCCCCAAAAGCTTGAGGTCAATCTGGATGACATAGCAGGATGTTACAGAAGGAAGAGGGGACAGGATCAATTCACCTAACAATCCTTGTGCAGAATCAAGCCATTTTATTTAACTAATTTATTCATTCCTTTTGAGAGGTCTTGCTGTGTAGATCATGCTGGGCTTGAACTCACTGTGTAGCCCAGGCTGCCCTCAGACTCAAAGCGATCTTTTTGCCTCAACTTCCAGAGTGCGGGGATTTTGTGCACCACCATGCCCAGCGCTCAAGCTCCTTTTAGAGACACTGAGGTCTCTGGACAAAAGCAGCACACAGATGTAGTCCCAGTACTTGCACTTCTGTGGAGGCCCCATCACTTTCTGGCCCCCTTCCTTGGTGGCACCAGAGAGGCAGTGGCGAGTGGGGGCTCTGCTGCTCTCCGCTGCCCTCCTGACTCAGGCTCTGGCGCCCACACGCACCTCTTGGAGCCAGGCCCATGGCCCACACGTGCTGTGGCAGGCAGTCCCTCTGTACTGGCTGCTCTGGGCCCACTTGGTTTTAGCAATCAAGTCTGGGACCCCAAGGTCACCCTCCAGCTTTCTGTGGAGCCAGCGTCAGCTCAGTGTCCCAGGACTTCCAGGCTGACACTGGGGCCCGTGGTGAGGACAAGAGGTGGAAAGTGAGTCCAACCCACACATTCAGAAGTGGGGCCTTCGGAGGGGAGGTGGGCTAAGGCCACAGGCGTGGAGCCCTCAGGACTGAGTCCTGGTGAGCTTAGGGTGAGGCGGTGCACGCCTGTGATCCCAGCCCCAGGGAGGCTACGGCAGGAGGTCACTGGGAGCTCAAATCCAGTCTGGGCTCTGAAGTGAGACCCTATCTTCAAACACAAAACAAAACAAAACAAAACAAAACAAAACAAAACAAAACAAAACACCTTTTCTGGGTGCCAGGGAGATGGCTCAGTGGAATAAGTGCTTCCCTGGCAAGCACAAGGGTCTGAGTTCAATTCCTGGTTCCACCAAAAAAACAAAACAAAGAAAAAAAACACCTCTTCTGCTAAAACCAGGGGTGTGCGTGGGGGGGGGGGATAGTGTTTTCTTCAAGTAAATGAATAAGGGACACGGGGCTGCAGGGTTTGAAAGGTGACAAAGGAGAGGGTGAGGAAGCCCAGGTACACTTCAGGACTGAGGGAGAAGCAGAAGCAGAGATTTCTGCGAGCGCAGCCAGCTGGGGGAGCAGCCCATTCCTGAGGGATTGCGGCAGGCAGTGGGAA